TGGTAATTAGCTTCAGTGCAATCCCAATCAAAATACCAGCAGCATTCCTTACAGAACTAGAAAAAACAATCCTAAAATTCATTTGTGGAACTAGAAGAGACCCAGAATAGCAAAAGCAAAGCAGAAGAGATGTCATGATACTTGACTTCAGGCTGGGGATATAGCTCAAAGGCACAGTGCCTGCCTGGCAAGCACAGGGTCCCGAGTTCAATTCCCGGTACCAAAAAAACCCCCTCACAATACTTGACTTCAAATTATATGACAAAACAACAGTGACTTTAAAGAACACATGGTTTTGGCACAAAATGAGAAATATGAATCAATAGAACAGAAAAGAGCACACAGGAACATGCCAAGGCACGTTTGAGCTAGGTGTGGTGGTGCACGCTTGTAATATCAGCACTCAGTAGGTTGAGGCAGAAGGATCTTTGTGAATTCAAGGCCAGCCTGGGCTACAAAGTGAGCTCATGGCCAGCCTGAATTGCATAGTGAGACCCTGTCTCAAAAAAACAAAACAAAGCAAGACACATTCGGCTACTTGATCTTCAACAAAGGAGTGAAAAGATAGCCTATTCAACAAATGCTGCTGGGAAAACTGGCTTTTATATGCAGAAGATTGAAGTTCGACCCACATCTCTCACCATGTACTAAATTAAAATCAAAACGTATCTAAGATCTAAGTAAACATTAAAATAGAAACAATGAACCTCCTGGAAGATAAAATACGTAAGGCACTTGAAGTCATACACATAGGCAAGATCTTTCTGAACAACCCCAACTGCACAAGAGTCAGCAAATGGGATTATATCAAATTAAAAATCTTCATAACTGTCCCTGGGTGTGGTGGTGCCTGCTTGTCATCCCAGCACTTGGGAGCCTAAGGCAGGAGGATCATTGCAAGTTCAAGACCAGCCTGGGTTACAAAGTGAGAAAAAGGCCAGCCTGAATTGCATAGTGCGACCCTATCTCAAAAAGACCAAAAAAAAAAAAAAAAAAAAATCTTCACAGCAAAGGAAACAATTACTAAAGAGACAACCTACAGAATGGGGAAAAAGCTATTCCTCAGAGGACTAACATACAGAATATATAAAGACTCAAAAAATTAGACCATCCAAATAAAAGACTCAATTAAGAAATGGGCAAGTGAAATGAACAGACACTTCTCAAAAGAAGAAGTACAAATGGCCAACAAATATATGAAAAAAATGTTCAACACCTCTGACCACTAGAGAAATGCAAAGTAAAATGATGCTAAGATTTTATCTTACAGCAAAAAGAATACCAGTGATCAAGAAATCAAAGAATAACAAATGCTGGGGAAGCTGCAAGGAAAAAGGAACCCTTCTGTCTTGCTAGCGGGAATGTACATTAGTATAACCACTGTGGAAATTTCTCAAAGAACTAAAATTAGAAATTCCACATGACCCAGATATTCCCCTTCTAGGTATCTTTCTAAAAGAACTAAAGAGGGGGCTGGGGATTTAGCTCAGCGGCAAAAGCGCCTGCCTGGCAAGCGCAAGGTCGTGAGTTCGGTTCCCGGTACCGGAGAAAAACCAAAACCAAAAAAAAAAATAAATAAATAAAAGAACTAAAGATATCACCTTATAAAGATATATGTACACTAATACTTATGCCAGCACAATTCATAGTACTTAAATCCTGGAAGCAGCCTATTTATCAATCAACAGATGAATGGATAAATAAAATGTAGTATATATATATAGTAGAATTCTACTCATGTTAAGTCTAAGACATTTGTAGGAAATAGATGCACCTAAAAAATATACTGTTAAGTGAAATAAATCAGACACACAAGCTTAAATATCATACAGTTTCTCTCATTTGAGTAAGGCAAATTACAGATAAAGGGCAAAAGAAAGGACCGATAAAAGGAAACAAGGAGACAGATCTTTTGCAAATGGGAAAGGGTCCAGGACACCATGGGCAAAGGAAGGGGAAGGGAGAAGAAGTAAAAAGGTCTAAGCTACATCGGGTACCTGCACCAAATACCCACAATGAATGTAATCACTACATGTCATAAACATGAACTAAAAATAGTAACACTGTACATGGGGAACGGGGTTGCAGACACAGATGGGAGGGAGGTGGGTGAGAAGGGAAAGGAGATTTAAAAAAGAATCAAGCTGTGTTACGTACATTCATCTGCTCTCTAAGATCAATATAAACTTCAGGTCCTGAAATGTACTAAAAGAAAAAAAAGAACAAAGATCTGCTACAATTTTGTTTCTCCCTGTAAGTTTTACCCTCATGAACATTGGTGCTGTTATTCATACAGATATTAATGAATATTCTTATCCTCACTGAGTTGCATTCTGTCATATCTGATGCTTTTTTTACCTGCATTTTTATTTGATACTGATGTCATTGATTCCCTTTTACTTTAGTTTGAATTTACCTAATGTATGTTTTGTCAGTCTTTACTTTGTATACTTATCAGGGCCCACGGCATAATAAATAGATTTTTGTTGGTTTTTTTTTTTTTTTTTTTTTTTTTTTTGGTTTTTCTCCGGTACCAGGAACCGAACTCATGACCTTGCGCTTGCCAGGCAGGCACTTTTGCCGCTGAGCTAAATCCCCAGCCCCAATAAATAGATTTTTAAAAACTATCTATAATATGAACAGGGAAAATTTAACGTAAATAAGCATGAGTTATTTAACAGGGGATTATTTACTAACTAGAACACCAAAGAGTATGGGAAGAATGAACATAAGGAGCATTCACCACCTCTAAAGCAGTGTAAGGCAGAGTAACCAAGGAAGGAACAAATGTAGAAAAGGCTCTGACAAAGGCTAAGGTTCAGAACTCAAGGCTGAGGCCTGCCTGATGATCAAGAAGCTTGTTAAGATGCCACAGGCTGGGGCTGCAAGCAGGAAAGCACCACCTGGCTTCCAGCAGGATTCTGCCACCTCTTGGGATACCGACCAGATGTGACAAGAAGCCATCTGTGCAGCTTTCTTTGTAAACTGATGCTATAGAGAGCCCTTCCCAGTCCTCATCGCAGGCCAGGAAGTTTATATTTGTAATCCCATGAAAAGTTAGTGGAAATCCTAGTTGGTGAATTCCAATCTACCACTTCCAGTGCAATCCATGGCCAGAATAAAGATACTAAGGCATATTCGTACCAGCAGAGTTCAAAGTTGTGTAGGCTAGGAAGAAAAAATCCTGTGAGTTACAAAAACAATAATAAAGCAACTACTTCCACTTTCAGTCTTTGATTCCCAGACTCATATATTTTGGCTACAAGGATGACAGCACCTTATAATGGTCTCTGATTCAAAGTAGACACTGCCCCTGGGTCAGTGTATATACTATATCCAAAGACAGTGGTGAAGGAAAATCCCACAATCATTAGAACTTCAAGTAATATCTTTAGTCGTCTGTTTTGGAGAGTTAGACAGACATATCGATCTATACTTGTTCCACTCTGGGCAGGTGCACTGTTGATCTGGATCTTGGGAACTTGGAAGGAAAAGGATCAGAAGATTGATACCAAGGAAATCTTGTTCCCTGATGGATGGTACAAAGCCACAGCTGTCCACTTTAAGCAGTACCAACACATTGTACACCAAAAGAACTCTGCCCTGGGGCAGCTTTTCAGATCTGTGTTTTCATCATTAGCACCCCTTTCTCGCCTGAGTTCTATGTACATGTTTCTTCTGATGCAGTTGTTTTTTAATGTTTTGATAGAAAACATCCAAATATACTTTTAAAAGAGTAACATAAATTCTCATAATTGTGTCCATCCACTTCACAATCATCCAAAATATGCTATAATTTTTTATCTCTTTCCATTTTGAATCAAATTTGAGCTTCGCTATTACATTATTCACCCCTGACATACTTCACTATGCATCTCAAAGAGAAAAATAAGAGCATTTCTCACCTAACATAATGCCTTTATCACCAGAATAAAATTAACAATATTCCTTGGGTACAGTTGAATACCCAATTCAAGCTCAAATTTCTTTAATTGTCTAAAAACTTATACAGTTGGTTTGTTAAAACAAGGATCTGATGAAGCTCCACTCATTAATTTGCTCATAATGTCAAATCTCTTGGAAATTTCTTTCCTTCTAGACCAGGTCTTTTATTTTGTAGACCATCTCATGTTCAAGATTTAGCAGATTGCTTTCTTTTTTTTTTTTTTTTTTTTTTTTTTTTTTGTTTTTTTTTTTTTTTTGGTACTGGGAATTGAACTCGCAGCTTTGTGCTTGCCAGGCAGGGGCTTGCGCCACTGAGCTACATCCCCGGCCGGCAGATTACTTTCTTGTTTTGTGTCTAATTTGGCTGTCTCTAATTTCCTACAGACTGGAGATTTAACGCAAAGACTTGATTAAATTAGGGTTCAGTTGGCCGGGGGGAAAGGGGCCATCTAGGTAGTACTGAGGCCTTCATGTTGCATGGATGAGAACACAGGTAATGGCTAGCTATCTCACTTTTAGGTTTACTGCAATTAGTAAGTGACTTCAGGCAGATGCACTTCTAACTTCCCACTGAACACAGTCCTCAGAGGACCCACCCACCTGCTCCTCCTTTGCACCATCTGCCTCTGTTTCAGGAAGTCTTCTGAGACATCCTGCATACTTCTATTCCATTGATGGGTACATCCCAGTTCATTTTTAAACCAAGTGCACTTCTTATATTAGAACTTTCCTCTCTATTCACAACATACTGGCCTAACCAGAGGAGGTTCTATGGAAGAGATACTTGAATGGGTTTAAAATAAAAAGAACTATCTAAGGACAAAGGTACATTTCCCTGACTCTGTCAGGCAGAACAATCACTCCTGCCCTTCTAACCTCATTCACCTTTGTTATTTCTCTACGATTGGATTTATCATGTTATATATAATGTGTATTTCTCTTCATATCTAGACTGGAAATCCTTTTAGAAGACCATAAGTCTTAATCAGTGTTCTAAATCCTTAGTCTGTGATCGAATTAAAAGTTTACTATTACAAAGCCCAGACACGGAGAAAATGGCGGCCGGGGTTGAAGCTGTGGCCGAGGTGGTGGCAACGAGGCCCAAAATGGAGGAGGAAAGCGGCGCATCTGGTGTGCCAAGCGGTACCAGGGCTCCGGGCCCGAAGGGTGAAGGAGAACAGCCTACTCAGAATGAGAAGAAGAAAGAGAAAAATATAAAAAGAGGAGGCAATCGCTTTGAGCCATATGCCAATCCAACTAAAAGATACCGGGCCTTCATTACAAACATACCTTTCCATGTGAAGGGGCAGTCACTGAAAGACCTGGTTAAAGAAAAAGTTAGTGAGGTAACATATGTGGAGCTCTTAATGGACGCCGAAGGAAAGTCAAGGGGATGTGCCCCGGTTGAATTCAAGAGGGAAGAAGGCATGAAAAAAGCCGCTGAAGTTCTAAACCAGCATAGTCTGAGTGGAAGACCACTGAAACTCAAAGAAGATCGTGATGGTGAACATGCCAGGAGAGCAATACAAAAGGTGATGGCTATGACTGGTGGGACGGGTAGGGGACGAGGTGGCCCATGAATGATTAATATCCCACCCAGTATCCTACATAATCCCAACATCCCAAATGAGATTATCCATGCATTGCAGGCTGGAAGACTTGGAAGCACAGTCTTTGTAGCAAATCTGGATTATAAAGTTAGCTGGAAGAAACTGAAGGAAGTATTTAGTATGGCTGGTGGTCCGAGCAGACATTCTGGAGGATGAAGATGGGGAAGCCGTGGACTAGGCACTGTGACTTTTGAGCAGTCCAGTGAAGCTGTGCAAGCTGTATCTATGTTTAATGCAGCTGCTATTTGATAGACCAGTGCACGTCAAAATGGATGAGAGGGCCTTACCAAAGGGAGATTTTTTCCCTCCTGAACATCCACAGCAACTTCCCCATGGACTTGGTGGTACTGGTACGGGGTTTGGACCAGGAGGGCAGTCTGTTGATGCCAATCATCTGAACAAAGACATCGGAATGGGAAATCTAGGGCCTGCAGGAATGGGAATGGAAGGCATAACACTGGAATAAATAAAATAGGCATCGAGGGCCCCTTTGGTGGTGGCATGGAAAACATGGGGCGGTTTGGATGTGGGAGGAACATGGGGCGGATAAATGAAATCCTAAGTAATGCACTGAAGAGAGGAGAGATCACTGCAAAGCAGGGAGGAGGTGGAGGTAGAGGCAGCATCCCTGGGACAGAGAGGATGGGCCCTGGCACTGGATGCATTGTGGGTGCCAGCATGAAGCACATGGCACAGGCCCGGGCCACGGTATGGATCATGTGGGCTCTGAGACTGAGCGCATGGGCCTGGTCATGGACCACATGGGTTCTGTTGGGTGCATGGGCTCTGGCATCAAGCGCATGGGCCCATTGGGTCTCAACTACATGTGCTCTAGCATTGAGAAAATGGGCCAGACCATGGAGCGGATTGGCTCTGGCATCCACCGCAAGAGACCTGGCATGGGTTTCGGCCCAGAGCGCATGGCCACACCCATCGACTGTGTGGGCCAAACTATTAAGTGCACAGGCTCTGTTGTGGAGCACATGGGCCCTGCCATCAAGCGCATGGGCCTGAGCATGGAGCGCATGGTGCCCACAGGCATGGGGACCAGCCTGGAGCACGTGGGTCCCGTGATGGATCACATGGCCACCGGCCTGGAGCGCATGGGCCCCACCATGGGCCCAACCCTGGGTGCTGGCATCAAGCGCATGGGCCTGGCCATGGGTGGCGGTGGTGGGGCCAGCTTTGACCACACCATCGAGATGGAACCTAGAAACTTTGGAGGAAGCTTCACAGGTTCCTTTGGTGGAGCTGGAGGCCGTGCTCCTGGGGTGGCCAGGAAGGCCTGCCAGATCTTCGTGAGAAGTCTCCCACTTGACTTTACATGGAAGATGCTAAAGGACAAATTCAGTGAATGCGGCCATGTGCTGTACGCCGACATCAAGATGGACAACGGGAAGTCCAAGGATTGCAGGGTGGTTAGGTGTGAGGTGGCTGAGAGAGCCTGCCGGATGATGAATGGCATGAAGCTGAGTGGCCGAGAGACTGATGTTCAGATCGATAGAAATGCTTAAGCAGTTGCCTTTTTTATTTTTTTTGTTTTTTGTTTTTTTTTTCCGGTACCGGGAATTGAACTCATGACCTTGCGCTTGCCAGGCAGGCGCTGTGCCACTGAGCTAAATCCCCAGCCCCAGCAGTTGCCTTTTTTAAACATCAATACCTCACCTCTGAATTTGTATTTTTTCTTGTTAACTATTTTAATTTGCTGGCTGGTATATAAAGATGTTTTAAAAATTCAGTTGCTTTTTGGGGTAATTTGAATTACTTTTTTAGTGACCGGGGTTCCGTTGGACAGTTTGCATTGAGATTGCAACGTGCAGTTTTTTTTGTAGTTGTGCCATCTTGTTGACATCAAATATGACTTTGATAATAAATACCAGTTCCTGAAAAAAGAAAGTTTACTATTGAATAAAAATACTTTCTTATAGGCAATAGTAAACGTTTGAATAGCAGTATAAATAAGTAGTATCTTTTCCATCACTTTGTTAATATAACAAATAACATTTAAAGGTTTAAAACATCAAAGTTTGTGTTAGTAATCTTATTTATAAAAAATATACAATGTAATATTTCGCAGACTACAGCAAAGATGCTCATGAGCTTTGGGATCATGTCTGTAGTGACTTAATATATGGTTTTCAATTTACATATGCAGACATTGTCACACGGCTAACAAGTACCGGAATGAACATTCAGACCATACTATCCGATGTGCACCAGTTACTTCTGGCTCCATCTCATGAGCACATAGTAAAATTTTCCATTTTGAAGACAATTTGACATGTCTAGAGTAAGAATATTATGCTAAAGGAAACTCCCATAATCATCCCCCAACTCTGTTCACTGGTTAGGTAGAGAAAAATAACTCTACCTAACCACTTCCTTCACCTTCTTTTAGCTTGCCTGATTCACCCCTCCCACAATACTCATTTTACACATTTTTAATCCCTCTAACTTCTCCTTTTTCCTCCACCTTTTCCTGGTTTCATTTTCCTTGTCATATAAATGAAGGTAAGAAGATATACTCTTCTCAACCCTCATGAGCTCATGGCTGGGACATGAAACTGTACAAACACGTGGAGACTAAACAATACATTATTGAATAATCAGTGGATTACAGAAGAAGTGAGGGAAGAAATAAAAAAGTTCCTATCTATGATCAAGTGACAGTGGAAACACAACATGCCAAAACCTCTGAGTCACAAGGAAAGCAATTCTAAGGGAGAAGTTTGTAGATATGAATGCACATATTAAAATAATAGAGCAATTCCAAGTGAATAACCTAAGGATGCATTTCATAGTCCTAGAAAAACAAGAGCAATCCAAATCTGAAATGTTGGGCTGGGGATATAGCTCAGTGGCACAGTGCCAGCCTGGCAAGCTTGAGGTTGCAAGTTCTATTCCCACTACCAAAAAAAAGAAAAAAAAAAAACAAATCTGAAATGTTTAGCAAGAGATTATAAAGACTAGAGCAGAAATTAATAAATGGAGACTTAAAAATAAAAAAGATCCATGAATCAAGGTATAGTTCTTTGAAAGGATAAACAAGATTGATAAATCCTTAGCCAAATTTATCAAAAAAAAGAGAATAACCCATGTGAATTAGAAACAAAATCACAACCAGTACCACCAAAATCCAGAAAGATATAAGAACCTACTCCAAAAACTTATACGCCAATAAATGAGAATCTACAAGAAATGGAGAAATTCCTGGACACAAATGAATTAACAAAATTGAACCAAGAGAATTTAAAAATCCAAATAGTCCAATAATAAGCAATGAAATACAGGCAGGAAAATAAAGTCTACCAACAAAGTAAGCCTAGGACCTGATGAATTAACTGCAGAAAGCTACCAGAACTTCAGGGAAGATTAACACCAACACTCTTCAAACTCTTCAGTGAAGTTGAGAAAGAAGAAGTACTGTCAAGCTCACTCCTGAACACTAGCACTACCCTGATAGCAAAAAAACTGGACAAGGACTGAAAAACAACATGAAAAAAGGAAACTACAGACCAATTTCCTTATTGAACATAGAGGCAAAATTCCTCAACAAGATACTGGCAAACAGAATGCAACAAACCATTAAAAAGGTCATATGTCATGACCAAGTTGATTTCATCCCAGAGATGGAAGGATGGTTCAGTATATAAAAATCAATAAATGTAATACTGTGCATAAACAAAAGCAAGGACAAAAATCACATGATCACTTCAATAGATACAGGAAAAAGCCTTTGACAAAATTCAACATCCATTCATGATCAAAAAAAAACAAACTCTGAGCTGGGTGTGGCAGCGCACGCCTGTAATCCCAGCATTTGGGAGGTTAAGGCAGCAGGATCATTGCAAATTTAGGGCCAGCCTGGGCTACAAAGTAAGCTCAAGGCCAGCCTGAAATGCGTAGTGAGACCCTATCTCAAAAAGACAAAAAAAAAAAAAAAACCTTCAATGAAATTGAGTATAGGACCTTATCTCAAACTGGTAAAAGCCACTTAGAACAAGCCTACTGCCAACATCACACTAAATAGTGAAATACTGAAAGGTTTTTCTCTAAAATCAGTAATAAGACAAGGATGTCTGCTCTCACCATTCCTGTTCAACTTAGTACTTGAAACTTTAGCCAAAGCAATCAGGCAAGAAAAAGAAATAAAAGGATTACATATAGGAAAGGAAGACAAACTGTCTTTATTTGCAGATAACATGATCCATTACATACAAGATCTAGGGCCAGGGATGTAGCTCATGGGCACAGCACCTGCCTGGCAAGTATGAGGCCCTCAATAAATAAATAAATAAATAGCTGGACATTGTAGTACATGCCTGTAATTCCAGCACTCAAGAGGCTGAGGCAGGAGGATCATTGTGAGTTTGAAACCAGCCTGGGCTGCAAAGTGAGCTCAAGGCCAGCCTGAACTGCATAGTGAGACTCTGTCTCAAAAAGACAATAAATAAGTAAATACTCTATTGAAAGACCTCTAGAATTATTAAACAAATTTAGCAGAGTATCAGAATACACAATAAACGCAAAAACCAATAACTTTCCTGCATACCAACAATGACTCCACCAAGAAAGAAATTAGAATGATACCATTCACAATAGTGTCAAGAAAAATTAAATAACAGTAAGACTTGGTTTATAGAACAACTCATTCCACTCATAACCTAAAGCATTTGTACAAAAGCGAGACAGAGACAGAGAGAAGAACCAGTTGTGATCATGTGACATCCATGGGTTCAGGGCAAATGCCTGATTTTCCCCCCATTTTAAGTTTCTGAGGACAGTTTCTAAATAATTTTTTCTTTTTTTTCTCTTTCTGAGACAGGGTCTCACTATGCAGCTCAGGCTGGCCTTAAACTCACTTTGTAGCCCAGGCTAGTATCAAACTCACAACGATCCTCCTGCCTGAGCCTCCCAAGGGCTGAGATTACAGGAGTGTGCCACCACACCCGGCTAAGTAATTATTTTCTACTAGACTTTTTTTCTAGTTGCATATTAGTCTGCTCTCAAAATGTTCTTGTCTATTTTTGATCTTACTCCTGCAAATTAGTACTACAATCACTGGAAGGCATCAATAAAAATTTGCAATCCTCTTTCATGGTTAATATCTAAAAGCCATGAGAGAATGGGAAATAGAGGGTCTAATTTTGATGGGATGAGAATGAGATGAAATTCTAAAACACAGAATAGATGGGAAGGCTTCGTGGTACCTGTGGGAAGAGACAGAGGCGGATGACAAGTCTCAGAAAGAGCCAGTAAAGTAGCTTTCTCCAAGGCCAAGGGACAATGTCAGAGGTACGAAAACTCCTCCCCTTTGACACTAACAGTTCAGGCTCCCTGAACCCTAGGTGCAGTGGGCGGGTGAGGAAGCCTATGCTTACCAAGCCATGCAGGTGGTTCTCACACATGCTGACCTTTGAGAACCCCTGAGATGGGTAAAAGCTTCTTTATATTTTTTTAGCAATTCCGATAGTTTGCTTGTTTAAACCCTTATAGATATTAAACCTACTAAAATGCTAATATAGTGGGCCCTTCATTCTCTACACCTTCCCTGTAGCAGATTCAACCAAGGCAGAGAAAAAGATGGCATCTACTGAGCTTAAAGACATTTTTCTTGTCATCATTCCCTAAGCAATAGTGTGACAACTGTTTACACAGCCTCTGCATGGTGTTGGGTATTTTAAGTTACCTAGGGAAGAATTATAGCGAACAGGAGTAGGCTGCCTCATCGTGCATGCGGTCTATGCAAATGTCTGCCCTCTTATAAAAGGCATTTAAGCGTTCAGGATTTGTCTCTGGGTGTCCTGGAATCAGTTTTCATGGATACTGGATGATAAGTGTAATACATTGTATTTTAAAAATTAATCTTTAAAACATTAAATTTATCTTGTTCAGTAAAAAGGAGTGGAGCTGGATCCATCACAGGGTGTCTGGTTCTTTTGAGGGGTTGGTTTTCTAAAGGAAAGGAGGCCATGACAGGGCAATTAGCAAAGAGAATGCACACGCATGCACACACACATGCACATGCGCATACATGCATGCACATGCCTGTGCCTTGTTCCGGGAAGCTCACAGCTGGTGCTGATTTATTTCAGCCACTTTTGTCTTTTTTGCTGTTGTTGTTCTTTTTGGGTTTTTTCCAGTACCGGGAATTGAACTCACAACCTTGAGCTTGCCGGGCAGGCGCTGTGCCACTGAGCTAAATCCCCAGCCCCCACTTTTGTCTTTCTCTGTATGAACTCTGCAAGTGCCCCTGGATCCATGGACCAAGAACCCTCAGCTATAAGTCTTAGAGATGCAAGGTGGATTTCTCAGGAAAATATTCACGAAGGCTGCCATGGTAATGCTTTCACATCCCCCTCCCCACTGGAATGGCCTTTCTGCCATTAGAATAACAAGAAGGAATAAAACGGCATTTAGAAAAATAGTGCCTGGCTGGAACAATTGTGGGTAAACTTGAAACAGGGTCATAAAGTGGTCAGGAATGAATATCTCTGTCGGGTGTGGCAGAGCA